TTGGCTCTCCTCACCTCAGCTACGTTGGTGGAAGGATTTCACCACCTACAGCTGATCCTCACCATCCATGGCCTTGCATTTCATGGCCTGGTGGCCACCATGGGGTTGGGCTAACAACATGAGGGAGATGGCAACCCCACACAGGAGCAAAGATCGCCCAGAGAGCAGCTCAGTGTTGCTGAGCTCCCTGCCAGTGTTCAAGGCCAGGTTGGACACAGGGGCTTGGAGCAAGCTGCTCTAGTGGAAGGGGTCCCTGTTCATTGCAGGGTGTTGGAACTGGAGGAGCTTTAAGGTCCCTTCCAACACAACCCATCCCATGCAATCATCCAGGGATCAACTAGGATTTAGCAAAGCTTTGGAAGAATAAACTGGGGTTTTAAGGAGCTCATCTTACACATAAAGCTCTGTACTTAAGGCAGGGTTATTTGGGGAGCTCTGATGCGCAACGTCCTTTCACTTCCTCAGAGGGCAAAGTTCCCCTGAGCCACACTGCAACCCCCACAGAACTTCACTTGCACACGTGCAGAGAACCCCAAGGGAGGGTTTTGGTGCTGTACTCACAGCCCCACAAATCCAGAGGCTGGGAAACGGAAGCAGAGCTGGATTCCTGCCTCACAACCCGGAGCTGGTGACCAAAGCCAGCAGCTCACAGGAATGGGGCCCTACAAGAGGAAGGTTTCCTTCCTGCTGACTCAACTGTGGGGCAGTGAGAGCTGGTGAGGAGAGGAACCCGGGCTCACCTCGTACTGCGGGTGACCGGCACAGATGAGCAGCAGCTCCAGTGTCCTCAGGTCCCCCAGCCCTTGGCCTGGGGTGCACACTATCTTATCCAGGAAGGTCTCGCAGAGCTCGGTGAACACACGGCAGTAGTTGAGCACCCTGGGTAGGAAAAGCAGCAAGTCAAAGGGATGGGCATGGGATCACACAGCCCAGCATGGAGAGGTTGGGGCTGTGCAGTTAACACGCTCCTGAGCTTGAGCTCAGGCCAAGAAACACCAAGTTCTGCTTCAGCTTTCAGTCAGCAGCTGGGAAACACAAAGGGGAACTTGGCTCTGCTCAGTTCCAATCAGCAAATGGTATGAAATGCTCACATCACCCCATTGCAGCTGAGAGGACTTCTCCAAACCCACGGCATGGGGCACAGGGACAACATGAGCAGCTTGGGTCTAAGGCAGCCCCATGAAGGTGGCACGTTTCAGAAGGCAAAGGTAGAAACCCGCTTTAAAAGTACACCCAGGATGTCCCAGTGCCCAAACACTGGGTGAGAGCAGAGCTGCTCTTCTGATAGAAACAGTTTAGTGCTTGGGTTTGAGATGATCTATGAGCCTGCTCTGCTTGAAGATGCTAATGGAGACAAAGGGGAATGGCTTGAACCTGCCCAACAGGAGACTGAGATGAGCTCTTAGGCAGAAGCTCTTCCCTGTGAGGGTGTTGAGGCGCTGGCACAGGGTGCCCAGAGAAGCTGTGGCACAAACTGGCCTGGAATCAACTGGGGCTGCAGGTCAGGGGGGCTCCCATCAGAGCAGCAACGTTTTGTAGCTGCCAACATGTGTAGAGCACTCAGGTCAATGTGCTCCATCAAAGTATGAAGGCTTCTGTTTCTCCTAAGACAAGAATGAGGAGCTTTTGACCCAGTGGCACACCCAGTGGGAATAGCTGAGCTGGGTATGGGTATCTGGAACAACAGGTTGCTTCTAAACTCTGTTTTAAGGGTGGTAAAACAGCTGCAGCTCAGGACACTTCCTTGCTCTTAACCCACCCCAATGAACACCAACACCACATCCAGCACTGCTGACAGTCCAAACCTGAGCCCAGCCTCATGCCTGGAGCACAAACCAGTGCACCAAGGCCAAGGAAGTCATCTGCTCACTTGTTTTTGCTCCACAGACACTTATTTGCATTGCAGACTTCAGAGTGCTGCATGGAAACCAACACCAAGGGCATGCAGGTGCTGGCACAGTTAATGCTGGTGCTTCTCCTCCCTTCCCAGGCTGGAAGCTCACTCACTTGTCCAGGTCCTCCCGTGCTACAGCCATGTGATAGGCACTCTCCAGGGTGAGGACCCCCTGGAAGAGCTGCAGGGCCAGGGGCAGGTTGGTCTCCACGTTCTCAATGGCATAGAGGGCTGAGCACACACAGTCCGAAGCGGCTTCGTGGAGGTTTGATGATGTCTTGTCTTGTTGCTGCAAGGAAGGAAAGAGCCCAGTGATCGTGTTCTGGAGTGAGATGGTGATGGAAACACAGGGGTTTGTTCTTCTTGTGCCCAAAATGCATTGTAGGGGTTCAAAACACCCCACAACTCACTCCCACCAGCCCTGCAAAGCCTGTGCTGCTTCACCAGCCTGGATATTTGAGGTCCAAACTGCCCCCATCCCACTGAGTCTTCCTTGAAAGAAGGGAAAACCCCATCTGAAATCCATGGAAGTTCAAAAGGAAAGGAAACACAAGTGCTGTTCCTCAGGGGTTGTGTTGCCTGCCCTGTCCCCATCCCTGGCAGTGCTCAAGGCCAGGTTGGACACAGGGGCTTGGAGCAAGCTGCTCCAGTGGAAGGGGTCCCTGCCTGTGGCTGGGGTTGGAGCTGGATGAGCTTTAAAGTCCCTTCCAACCCAAACCATTCCGGGATTCTATGATTCTGTTTCCAAGAACAGGGAATGGTTCTGAGCTCTGAGCTCATATTCCCTGGATCAATCCAGAAGAAGGGCAGGAAAGAGTAAAACCAAAGGAGCTGCAGAGCCTCTTCCTTCCACACAAACAGCCACACACACACACAGAATGTTCTGTGAAAGCTCTCACAATACTTCTGGTCCATCAGCTTTGTCCCCACATCAAATTCCTGCACTAAGGACCAAGTACACAGGCAGAGGAAACTCCTAAGGGTAGTTTTAGCTTCTCCCTTGGGACCTTGCTCTTCCCTGCCTGCTCGCAGAGCAGCACACCCTGCCTTGTGGAGCTGATGGAGGTAAAGAAGCAAGCAGTGGATTCCTGCTTGAGAGAGGAGGGATGAAACCCACTTCCCCACCTGCTGGTCCTCAAAGCCCACCAAACCCTCACTGCCAAGAGGAATACTCACCAGCACCTCGAACAGGAGGGACAGCAACTTGCTGTTTGCCATGAAGGTGCTGTCCAGGACGCCCAGGTTGAACCAGCTCCCCAGGCACCGGAAGATCTTGATGAGCATCTTCTCGTCGTTGCCTGCTTTCTCCACACATGTCATCTACAGCAGGACAAGGAGGAACTGGTTAGGAACCCAACAGGTAACTCCACAAGCAAAATAACATCTAATTCTTGGATAGCAGCCTTCCAGTATCCTGAAGGGGGCCTATAGGGATGCTGGGGAGGGACTCTTCATTAGGGACTGTAGTGATAGGACAAGGGGTAATGGGTTAAAACTGAAACAGGGGAAGTTTAGATTGGATATAAGGAGGAAATTCTTTCCTGTTAGGGTGGTGAGGCACTGGAATGGGTTGCCCAGGGAGGTTGTGAATGCTCCATCCCTGGCAGTGTTCAAGGCCAGGTTGGACGAGGCCTTGGGTGATATGGTTTAGAGCGAGGTGACCCTGCCCACGGCAGGGGGTTGGAACTTGATGATCTTAAGGTCCTTTCCAACCCTGACTATTCTATGAGTCTATGACTCTATGATTTACTATGAAAGCTCCTGGTAGAAGCAGAGGAAACCTGAACAGAAACTCTTATGACAGCACTCTGTCCCTTGGTGACCCTCACATCGTGCTGGTGAGGCTGGGAGCAGGCAGTGCAAGGTGACACTGCCTGTCTCATTGAGGTGACAGCCAGGCTTCTCCCACATGTCCTAGGGGAGGGCTGGAAGTTGCTGGGAGGGATGGCAGGACTGCAGGAGGGATGGTGCAGGGATTGCAGGAAGGTGAAAAGGGTTTCAGGAGTGAGCAAGGACTCGTGCAAACTCAAGCCTAAGGAAAAGGTGGCACCGGGCTCCCCCAGTGGCTGTGCTGGTCATGGCATGGAGCTCTGCTGGGGAAAACACAGGGGGAAGTCATCTCAAGAAGGTCTGAGCTGCTGTGGAGCAGAGGGAACAGCTCAACTGTGTGACTGCAGGGGGAGGATGAGAGGAAATGGCCCCAAGCTGTGCCAGGGAAGTGGAGATTGGATATGGGGAAAAATGTCTTCACTGAAAGCACGGCCAGAGGAGGCCATGGAGATGCTGCGAGGGCTGGAGCAGCTCTGCTCTGGAGCCAGGCTGAGAGAGCTGGGCTGGGGCAGCCTGGAGAAGAGAAGGCTCCTGAAGGGGAGACCTTAGAGCAGCTCCAGTGCCTAAAGGGGCTGCAGGAAACCTGGAGAGGGGCTTGGGACAAGGGCCTGTAGGGACAGGCCAAGGGGAATGGCTTGAACCTGCCCGAGGGGAGACTGAGCTGAGCTCTTAGGCAGAAGCTCTTCCCTGTGAGGGTGCTGAGGCGCTGGCACAGGGTGCCCAGAGAAGCTGTGGCTGCCCCATCCCTGGCAGTGTTCAAGGCCAGGTTGGACACAGGGGCTTGGAGCAAGCTGCTCCAGTGGAAGGGGTCCCTGAAGGTTGGACTCAATGATCTTTAAACCCCCTTCCAACCCAAACCAGGCTGGGATTCTGTGATATATCAAGACACAAGATGTGCAGATCTCAAGATGATGACCTAGACACCTACATACACACACCCATAATGGGCTGAAGTTGTTTCTTCTTTAGCCCTCAAACACCACAAAACTAGCACAGCCTGCACAGGAATCCCAGCTTAGCCAATGACTGGACCTAAAATCTAGGAGGCTAAAGAGCTCTTCCTGAACTTACAGCACAGGATGCTGGAAGAGAAGCCTCCAGACTTGGTACCACCAATGAAATCAATGCAGTGCTCACAAGGACAGTCTGGTTGAGAGATGAGACAGCTGAGTTCCCACAACTAGCTCTGTTGTCAAACCAGTGCTGACAACAAGAATCCGACTCTGATTTTGTTCTGCTTGGAACTGAAATATATAAAAGCATCTTGTTTCATGCATCCCACCTGGAATAGCCTGGACCAGTGATGTAGAGGGGGATAAGAATGATGGAGCCTGGGCAGAGAAGAGATTCAGAGCAGCCCTGTGGAAAAGGACTTGGGGGTGCTGGTTGATGAGAAAATGAACATGAGCCGGCTTCAGTGTGCGCTTGCAGCCCAGAAAGCAACCGTATCCTGGGCTGCATCAAAAGGAGCGTGACCAGCAGGTTGAAGGAGGTGATCCTGCCCCTCTACTCTGCACTTGTGAGACCTCACTTGGAGTATTGTGTGCAGTTCTGGTGTCCTCAACATAAAAAGGACATGGAACTGTTGGAACAAGTCCAGAGGAGGCCACAAGGATGATCAGGGGACTGGAGCACCTCCCATATGAAGATAGGCTGAGAAAGTTGGGGCTGTTCAGCCTGGAGAAGAGAAGGCTGCGTGGAGACCTCATAGCAGCCTTCCAGTATCTGAAGGGGGCCTATAGGGATGCTGGGGAGGGACTCTTCATTAGGGACTGTAGTGATAGGACAAGGGGTAATGGGTTAAAACTTAAACAGGGGAAGTTTAGATTGGATATAAGGAGGAAATTCTTTCCTGTTAGGGTGGTGAGGCACTGGAATGGGTTGCCCAGGGAGGTTGTGAATGCTCCATCCCTGGCAGTGTTCAAGGCCAGGTTGGACGAGGCCTTGGGTGATATGGGTTAGAGCGAGGTGTCCCTGCCCATGGCAGGGGGGTTGGAACTTGATGATCTTAAGGTCCTTCCAGCCCTAACTATCCTATGATCTACAAAAACCATGTACACGCGGCCCTCAGTGCCATGGGTTAGTGGTGGCCTTGGCAGTGCTGGGGAACGGTTGGACTGGATGATCTGGTTCCAAGGAGCTGGATGAAGCTCCCCAGCAGCTGACCACTGCCTGGTCCCTCTGTGGTCTCCTTACCAGCAGAGAGACGACCGTGCTGGAGTAATAGGCCAGATCCTCGATGATCTCGGTGCGGCGGTTGGCTCCGATGCGCAGGGACCGGCTGTGCACCTCCTCCGGCAGCACCGTGAGGATCTCCAGCAGGAAGGGGAGGGATGTGACATCATTGCTGTACCTGGAGCAACGGGGAGGGAGGACGGGCTGTGAGGGCAGGTGACAAACAAGTGCTCAAGGCCAGGTTGGACACAGGGGCTTGGAGCAAGCTGCTCCAGTGGAAGGGGTCCCTGCCCATGGCAGGGGTTGGAACTGGAGGAGCTTTAAGGTCCCTTCCAACCCAAACCATTCCATGATTCTATGATTTACTCAAGGATCGATTTAAGATTTTAATGATATAATGATTTACTCACTTTTCCACCAGTGTTTGTACGCAGCCTTTCCAAGAAGCCATCTGCAGGGCAAGGTCTGCTATTGCTAAAGCAAGCTGGAAGGAGAAGAGGGAAATGGGTTCAAACTGAAATAGGGGAGATTCAGGTTAGCTCTTAGGCACAAGTTCTTCCCTGTGAGGGTGCTGAGAAGAGTTTGGAGAAGAGGAGATTGAGGGGTGATCTTGTTAGTGTATATAAATATATAAAGGAGGAGTGTCACGAGGATGGAGCCAGGCTCTTCTCAGTGGCAAACAATGAAAGGACAAGGGGTAATGGGTACAAACTGGAGCACAAGAGGTTCCACTTAAACCTGAGAAGAAACTTCTTCTCAGTGAGGGTGACGGAACACTGGAACAGGCTGCCCAGGGAGGTTGTGGAATCTCCTTCTTTGGAGACATTCAAAACCCGTTCCTGTGTAACCTTATCTAGGTGTTCCTGCTCCGGCAGGGGGATTGGACTAGATGATCTTTTGAGGTCCCTTCCAATCTGTAACATACTGTGATACTGTGATACTGTGATAAAGGATTGATTTAACCAAAGGAACTAAATAATGAAGGAATTATGTACTGGGAGACACAATGGAGGTGACTGCAGGCATCAACCTTCCCGGTTGTCCATGATGGAGGAAAAGCAACCAAGGGGTTTGCCTCAGTGTAAGTCAAAATGGCAAGAGCTGGAGGTGGCCAGCATCAGCATCAGTTCTTCCTCCTTCAAGCTCCCCACTGGAATGGCTCTGGCAGGGCTGTGACACCAGCCTGGTACCAGTGGGAAGTTAGGACCAGCCCTCACTGTGTCATGGACATTCAGAGCAGCTGAATGTGCTCTGCTCAGCACCCACCTGGGTTACGATGACCGGTGACAGGTCTTTCAAATTCTGGATGTGGGACAGCAGTGAGTCCCGTAGGGAAGCGTGGGAATCCGTGGGGAGTTCATAGAAGGAAGTCTGGATCTTCATCTTCATGGTCTGTGCCGCGAAGTAGCAGGATTCCACATCCTGATGGATCTGCAGCAGCTGGTCAGAGATCTCCCAAGCGTGGACCTGCAGGAACACAGCCAGTGAGTGAAACCCAAATTCCCTTTGGGAATGATGATGAAAATGGATCCTCTCTCCCCAAATCCCACCCTGATTCTCATCAGGAGAGTCCATTTGTGTTGCCATCACACCTCAAGTGATGGAGCTGGTTAATGAAGGCGTTGGGGCTGTGACACCCACCCAAGGAGCTGAAGGAGCTCCCAGCACCAGTGCTGATGCTCATGGCCCCAGTTACCACAAGCCCTTCAGGAGAGCAGGTTAGAGAGTGATCTGATGCTCACCGTTGCAGTGAAGAGCATGGAGAGATGGCTTTGGGCTAAGGTGGACAATTCTTGAGCCTATTACACAGCAACAGAAGCAGAAAGAGCCCAGCAAGGGATAAATGGGGAAAGGATGGGATACAAACCTCTTCAGGTCACAATAACAGCATGTAATTGCAGAACTGAAGCCACCAACCCTGTCCAAGAGCACAGGCTGGGACTGGAGATGCTGCTGCACATGATGGATGTGCCAAAGAGCTTAGAGGAGGGCCAGCAGTGAGGGAGATGAGCATCTGCCAAGGCTGTGTGAGACTGAAGGCACCAGAAGCTACAAGGAGAGCACTGGGTGAGCCACAGGACCCATAGGCACAGCCCGTGCCACCCTCACCTCACCATGATGGGCTCAACATCACAGCACAAGGACTGTTCAGAGCTGCTGAAGCACTCACTACATAGGGTTTGGTAGGAAAATGAAGCCAGGAAAGCTTCACCAAAGCCCACCACTGCTGCAGCACATCAGCATGGCTTGGGAAGAAGCACTTGGATGAAGGGTCTCCTGTTGAGGAATGCTTCAGAGGACTCAGATGATCCAGTTGTCTTCCTTTCCCAAACATCTGCAATATTGCAGCTCTGGAAACATCATTCTGCTTTTCCTTAAAAATTAAGGTTTTATTTCTCCACAGCACTTGAAATCTGCAGAGTTGAGCTTGAAATAATCAATCTACACCACGTGTGTGACCAACACTGAGCACCTCGGCCAATTCTTTGGACCTGCACCCCAAAAGCTGCCACACACAAGCCATGGGCACCCAGAAGGAACACGGTGACCACATCCAACACTTGCCACACTGTGTTTGCTATCACTATGATCACTATTACAAGGAACCTTAAAGCTCCTCCAGTTCCAACCCCTGCCACAGCAGGGACCCCTTCCACTGGAGCAGCTTGCTCCAAGCCCCTGTGTCCAACCTGGCCTTGAACACTGCCAGGGATGGGGCAGCCACAGCTTCTCTGGGCACCCTGTGCCAGCGCCTCAGCACCCTCACAGGGAAGAGCTTCTGCCTAAGAGCTCAGCTCAGTGTCCCCTCTGGCAGGTTCAAGCCATTCCCCTTGGCCTGTCCCTGCTTTCAATAGGTGCTCACCAAGCTTTGAAGCCCACAATGGTCAAGAAGAGCGTCCTTCCAGAGCTGCCTCCTTCCAGACATGCTCCTACCAGGCCTTGATCCCTCTTTTCCAGCTGCCTCTGTGCCCAAGGGCTGTCAAACGAGCTTTCTCCAGTAACTGCAGCTATTACTAGTTTAGCTTTAAGGTCCCTTCCAACCCAAACCATTCCATTCACATGGCTTATGTGTTGGCTTATGCACTTTTAGACAGAAGGCTCCAGAACTTTATAAGGAGGAAGTTCTTTATGGTAAGGGTGGTGAGGCACTGGAATGGGTTGCCCAGGGAGGCTGTGAATGCTCCATCCCTGGCAGTGTTCAAGGCCAGGTTGGATGAGGCCTTGGATGCCATGGTTTAGTGTGAGGTGTCCCTGCCTATGGCAGGGGGTTGGAGCTTGATGATCTTAAGGTCCTTTCCAACCCTAACTATTCTATGACTCTAAGAGCATCCTCCATTGGAAGATGATGTCCTGTGGCCATCGAGTTGTGTGAGGAGGATCTTCACCACCCACTTCAAGTCCTGTGGGTGATACTCACCTTCCTACAGAAGATATGATATTATGGGGTGGAAGAGGCTGCTCTGCGAGCCTACAATGCACTTTGCCTTGGAAGACTGGAAAGGAAAAGCTTGTTCCTTGTTTCCCACAGGAACTCTTGGCTCCAGCTGCATTTCCAGAGTTCCATGGAGATGACCCAAGCAGCCTGGTGACAACATCCCCTTTCCTACCCACAGACGGTGACACCCACAAGGACCTTGGAACTGCTGGTTCAAACTGAAGCAGCCGTGGCTTCCCACCCAAATGACACTTCGGTTTGGTGGCCCAACACCTTCAGCATCCTACCACATGGACCCTTCCGGAGTAAAGGTGCTCATCTGCAGACTGTTGTACTTGAGGGTCAACACCAACCCTGTTATAAACAGCTCCCATGTGATGTTACTACTGCTTTACAAAAGGATTTTAACCTACAATCGAGGCTGGTCTTCAGGCAGAAGCAAAAGTGATCCTGAAGAGACACAGTGAAGCTTTCATGGAGGAAGGAGCTGATCTTCCCACCTCTATGGATGAGTCCATGGGATTCAAGCTCACCCTCCTCCAGTCCCATGGGATCTATGTGCACACAGTCTTGCTCACAAGTGTAACATTTGGTTTTACCATTGATCCAGCTCCACACTGGGGTTCAAGCCTGACTTTTCATGTAAGAATTGAGCAATAAAAGAAGGCACATAAGGCAAGAAGCCAGCTCAAGGCCTTGCCACTGAGCTCTGAAGACCATTACCCAAAGAGCTCTGCCCAGCACCCAGCTTCCAGAGGCCAAACCCCCACATTGAAGGGTGGAACATCTGCAGCTTGACATTTAACAGTGGATGAAATGGGAGTTGGGGATTGATGCAGCTGTAACAAGAAGCGACCAAGATGGAAACAAGGGGCTCAGGGACCTTCACTGCCCAAAGAACAATGATCCCCACAGAAAGAGGAGCCTTCATTTCAGCTTTACCAGATGGGCTGATAAGGATCCATCATTCAGAGAGGACTGGTGGTGGTAGAGGTCCAGAAATGATAATTGAGAACACTGGACCAAAGAACTCATGTGGTTTCAACTTTTTAGTGTCCACTTCCTGCAGCTCCATCACTTCTCTGCAAGGATTCCAGCCTCCCAGCATCCCAAAGCGTGTTCACAACAGCAGCCACGTGCCCCCAGTGGGAGGGCTGCTCTTCAGTGCTCCTCCAAGCTCTTACACAAACACTGACTTGATGGAAGAGCCTTGGTGCAAAGAGCCTCAGCCCTGGAGACGGGTGCAAATGGAGCTGGGAAGATCACAGCATCCCAGACTGGTTTGGGTTGGAAGGGACCTTAAAGCTCCTCCAGTTCCAACAGGCAGGGACCCCTTCCACTGGAGCAGCTTGCTCCAAGCCCCTGTGTCCAACCTGGCCTTGAACACTGCCAGGGATGGGGCAGCCACAGCTCCTCTGGGCACCCTGTGCCAGCGCCTCAGCTCCAGTCCCTTCCATGACATGTAAACCTTCCTGGAGAAATCACCTTGGGAAAAGCAGCATCCGGTCCATTCAATCCCAGGCAGCGGAAGAGTTCCTCACAGAACAAATCTTCCATCCTTATGGAAGCTGCAGCCAGAGGAGATGCTCAGGCAGCCTCAGATGTTATGGATCCCTTTCAGAGCAAAGCTGGTTTGAGCTGTGAAAACAGGAGGGTTCCCATTTGAGCGGTACCCACAAAGTGTTCCACTTCCAAAACAGAGCTCTCTGTGTCCTCTCCTTGGCCAAGCAGCATCTCCAAGATGCACAAGGTCACGATTCCGAAGCCAAGGCAGCTGCAAACCCTTCAGCTATTGAGCAGCCTCTTCCTAAGGTCTCATAGAGGCTTCTGAAGGCTGGTTCTAATGGACAACACTGCACTGAGCTTCAGCTTTAGGTAGAGGAGGAGCCTTCCAAGACAAGTCTTCTGCTCAACAAGACTCTGAAGATGCCTTGAGAGGGCCACTGAAGGTGACATCTTCCAGGGGAGAGCCTGACAGCCAGGCCTGGGTCTGTTATAGAGGAATACAGACAGCAGCTTGTGTGCTGGGGATGTGGTGGCACCACGAAGCTGGGGTTGGTCATGGATTCCAGCAAAGAGCAATGGAATATCCTTCCTTTTCCAAATGGAAAGGGAAGAACGGGCCTATTCAACACCAGTCGAAGAGATGGACACCAAACCAGCACAAAGATGAAGTGCGAGTTGTAGGTGCTGCCAGAATCAAGAGCTTCCAGCTGAAAAGGAAAGTCTTCTTGTGGAGCCTTGCAGAGGCAGCTTTTCCTTCTAAACTCCCACCAACTGGTTTAACTTGTCTATTCCCCCCAAATTCCTCTTCCCTGGAAGGATTCGGCTGCTTCCATGGGCAAGCTTCACCACGGAGGATCTATGTGGTAGCCAGGAAGACTTTGAGAACACAGCAGAGAAACCCAGACCACAGAATCAGGGGGGAAGCAGCAGCCTGGAGGTCTCTGCTCAAAGCAGAAGCAACTTCAGTCAAGCCCATTGAGGGCAGTTGTGAAGGTCTCCAAGGATGGAGACCTCCTCACCCTGGGCTTTGTGCCAGGGTTTATCCACCCTAATGCAGCCCAGGGGCAATCTGGTCTCCTAAATCCCAAACCCCATTGATTTCCATCCGGTCATCCCAAGGCTGATCCTATCCAGGAGAAAGGACTTGGAGTTGGCCTCTTGATGTTGAGGTCCCTGTTTCTCCACCCAACCAAGATCCCTTGCAAGCAGCCCTGCCTCCAGAACATCAACTGCTCCTCCAACATGGCACCATCCATCAACTTGCTGTGGTGGATCTGTCCCATCATCCAGTATCCACACTATTATGGATCCATGAGGAATGTCACTTAACTGGCCACCAGCTGGACTTCAGGGCCATGAGCACTGCTGTTGGAGCCCAACCACCAGGTCCATCTCTCTGGTTACTGTAGGACAATGTGTTGGAAGCCTTGCTAAACACCAAGGAAAAAGACATCCATTGCTCTCCCCATCCAGCACAGGAGGCTACTTGGGTAGGCAGGAAATGTGTTCCCCAATGCCAGGCCACAAGACACATCATTCTCTCTGCCACAGCCTTTTCTACCCATTGCTTTTGACATGAGCAGCTCATGACATGATGCTCTGAGACCAGTGCTGCTTCTGGATGTGCCCAAATGGACTTCCAGACATCCAGCCACAGCTTTATGCTCCCTTCCAACCCCAACCAGTGTGGGATTCTATGAGAAGACAACCCCAGACCTGCAGGGTGATGCTGCTGAGATGCAGCTTCACCATCATTTCCCCCCTATACCCATCAGTAAGACTCCAAGGGATGTTCTACCACAGCCAATGGGTCCTTGTACCCCACAGCTCCCATCTACCACGGGGTTAAAACCACTGGTGCCACCACCACCATTACCACCTCAAGCTGCTTCAGTAGGTCACTACAGAGCTGCCAGTGTCACCTCTTCTCTTCAGGCCTTGAGCAGGTCCCATGTGTTATCTGGCTGGATGTTAATGCTATCAAAGTGCTCCTGGAAGTTGGAATACACTCAGTGGAGAGGTGATAGGTGAAATCAGGTGATTCCCCAGAGCACCCAAAAGGCTGGGAAATCACTGGGATTAATCCTAATCCTGAAAGGATCAGGCCAAATAGGCACAACTAAAACTGAGAAGCAGAAATGATGTTAATCTGGAGTCAAACCACGTCACTGCTTGAGTTTAAACCACCCTGGTTCATACAACAAGGAGGGAAGAGATTCCTGAAGGCGTTTCTCTTGAGGAGTGGTATTCCTCTCTGAAAAGGAAAGGGATCCCTTTGGTTCCCAGGGCACCCATGGTTTACATTAAAAACAACCAGGATGACACAGACAAGAGCCAAAGAAACCACAACAGAGCAAAACCAACCCCAACGCTTACCCCAGACAGAGAGATCCTGACCTTATGGGTGCTCAGGGGGTTAAAAGTCCTCAACGCTCCCAGCTCTGCTCCTGGTGGGACACTTTATACCCAGTGTTTGTGCCCAGTGTGTGTGTATCCAGTGTGCGTGGATAGAGATGAGCTCTTAGGCAGAAGCTCTTCCCTGTGAGGGTGCTGAGGCGCTGGCACAGGGTGCCCAGAGAAGCTGTGGCTGCCCCATCCCTGGCAGTGCTCAAGGCCAGGTTGGACACAGGGGCTTGGAGCAAGCTGCTCCAGTGGAAGGGGTCCCTGCCCGTGGTAGGGGTTGGAGCTGGAGGAGCTTTAAGGTCCCTTCCAACCCAAACCATGGCCTGCAGAGTCAATGCCTCCCCTAGTGCTCTAAGGTCAGAGTCCTTAGGGTGCTCAGGCAGCAAAGCATTCACTCCTGCAAGCACAGGTTTGGGTGGTTTCTGGAACAAAAAGTAGCTCTGAAACAGTAATTTCCCTCTTTTTTAACCCAAATAAGATCTGTATAATTTCTAATGCATATATCTGTATATTTATAACAGATAAATGGACATAACCACATCCAGCAGTGCTCAGGTCCACCCAAGAACCACCATAGGATTGGACCTGCCACTGAGCCCCTCATGGGACCCAAATCCTCCCCAGGTGCTTTCCAAATGGCAAAGCCCCTTCCCAAGAGGATAACACATGGGAAGGAGCTGCTTAAATCCAGACACACACACCCAAGTGATGGGTTCCCAGGTGCAGAAACAAACCCTGCTGCAAACTCAGGGTGAAACAGGGAGGAAAAAAGGGGGGAACCCAGGAGTTTGTGTAAAAAGAGATCCAGCAGCCCATGGGAAGCTGATGGGGATGAGGGGGCTCCAGGAAGCGTGTGTGGGGAAATATCCCATAGGATATAAAGAGCCCAGTGGGGGGAAAAGGGAGGTAAAGGGGTCATGGGGAAGAGCAGAGGGGGAAAAGTGCTCCAGGGTGGCACAGGATGGGAATAGGGAGCAACGCTCCAGGAGGAGCCATGGGCTTTGGACAGGAGAAGTGAAGTCACTTCCAGGTTATAACCTAAAGGGAGCAAATCTGCTTCCATCGGGATGGTGTGAGGAAACAGAACACGTCAGCTCCCACATTTAGGCTCTTCAGGGTGAAGTTTGGGGTGAAGGAGCTCACTATGCATCACACAGAGGCTCCAGAGCGCAGGAATGGGGCTTTGGAGCCATCACTGATGCATTAATCCCCAGGTTCAGGCTCTTTAGGGTGAGGTTTGGGGTGAAGCAGCTCGCTATCTGTCACAGAGGAGACTCCCGAGCGCAGGAATGGGGCTCTGGATCCATCACTGATGCATTAATCCCCAGGTTTAGGCTCTTTAGGGTGAGGTTTGGGGTGAAGCAGCTCGGTATCTGTCACATAGGAGACTCCAGAGCGCAGGAATGGGGCTTTGGATCCATCACTGATGCATTAATCCCCAGGTTTAGGCTCTTTAGGATGAGGTTTGGGGTGAAGCAGCTCGCTATCTGTCACATAGGAGACTCCAGAGCGCAGGAATGGGGCTTTGGATCCATCACTGATGCATTAATCCCCAGGTTTAGGCTCTTTAGGGTGAGGTTTGGGGTGAAGCAGCTCGCTATGTGTCACATAGGAGACTCCAGAGCGCAGGAATGGGGCTTTGGAGCCATCACTGATGCATTAATCCCCAGGTTTAGGCTCTTTAGGGTGAGGTTTGGGGTGAAGCAGCTCGCTATGTGTCACATAGGAGACTCCAGAGCACAGGAATGGGGCTTTGGAGCCATCACTGATGCATTAATCCCCAGGTTTAGGCCCTTCAGGGTGAGGTTTGGGGTGAAGCAGCTCGCTATGTGTCACATAGGAGACTCCAGAGCACAGGAATGGGGCTTTGGAGCCATCACTGACCCCCCCAATGCCTCTGGGACAAGCGGGTGATGCCCCCCATCTCCCTCACCCCAACAATGGGGTACGCTCAGGATAAATCCACATTGCCCCCCCCCAAACCCCTCCTGGCCCCATTTCCCCCCACCCCAGGCACAGTGAGGGCTCATCCCAACCCCCTCATCCCGTTATTCCCGTTGTTGGGAAGCAAACCCCGATCATAGGAGGGTCGGGAGGGGGTTATCCCCAAAGCCGCGTTTATACCCCCATAACGCCCCCACGGAGCCCGGCCGCGCCTCAACGGGCACTGATGCGGGGAAGGAGCCGGGGGGATCACCGGGTCCCCGCCGGGCCTCACCGATCGCTGGAGCTCTCCCAGCCAGCAGCTCGCCCGCTCCTTGCCGCTGGGGTCGGGGTCGTGGTAGAGCGCCTGCACGGCCTGGTACACGACCTGCAGCCCCGGCTTCCCGCCGCCCTCCATGGCCGCGGCCGCGTCCCCTCAGCGCCAACCGCCGCCCGCCGCCATGTCCGGGCCCCGCGCTCCGGTACCGGGCCGGGACCGTGCACCCGCGCAGCGCGGTCCCCCCCGGAAACACGCGGCCGCTTCCTTCCGTTCCGCTGCGATCCGTTCCGCTTCCTCCCGCTCCCGTCTTGTCTTTTCCGCTTGCTCCCGGCTCCGCTCGGTACCGGTACGGTCAAACCCGCAGCGGTGAATGCAGGCTCGCCCCTCGCCTTTAACCGCCCGCTCCGCCCGCACCGGCGCCGCTGGGCTCCTGCGGGTGCGTTGCTCAAAGGTGTCCGGGCGGGCGCGGCCACACGCGGAAGGAGCCAGCGGGCACCCCCCAACCAGCGGCGCCGGCACCGGGGGGCTCAGGGCGCAGGATGGGCCCGGTACCGGAGCTGTGACACCCCCCCCCCGGACCGTGACAGCACCAGACCGGGCACCCCGGTACACATAGACAGGAAGGGGGGGTCCCATCAGCCCGTCCCATGGGGCCCTACGGGGGTACCACCCCCCAGTCCTGTCACTGCCTCCCACAAGGGCCCTGTATCTCCCAGTCCTGTGCCTCCATCCCACCACACCCCCCCAGTCCTGTCACCGTGTGCAGCCGCGGCCCCATTGCCCCCAGTCCCATCATCCCATCCCATTGGAGTCCCACCTTCCCCCAGTCCCGTTATCCCATGCAACCAGGATCGCATCACCCCCCCCGTCCCATCTCTCCATCCCACTGGGTGCCCCCACACCCCCAGTCCCATTACCCCATCCCCTAACTGTCCAATCGCTGCATCCCAATGCCCCACTGCAGCCCCATCTCCCCATCCCACTGGAATGCCGCAGCTCCCCCAGTCCTGTTACCCCCCCTCACCAGGTACCCATTGCCACCAGGTTCTATCACCCCATCCCAATGCCTCCCAGCAGGGTCCCACTGTCCCCCTCCCAGTCCCATCTCTCCATCCCACTGGGTTCCCCCATCACCCCATCCCATTGGGGTCCCACACTCCCTGTCACCCCATTCCACCAGAGTCCTACCACCCCCAGGCCCCCATCCCAGCCTGCCCCACTGTGCCCCCACCATTCCCACTGTTCCCAACAGCCCAGCCCAGGGTGATCCCAGTCTCCTTCCCAACTCTATTCCCAGCCCCTGGGGAATAGAGCTGCTGGGGAGACCCCAGGCTTTGGCTCTGGTTTGTCCCAAGGGATGAGGCTTTGACTCCAGGGATACGGAGTGAGCAGAAGCCCCACACTGGGACTGATGCTGATTTCCTGCTTCCCTTATGTCCCCCTCCCCAGTAAACCCCTCATGGTGGGTCCATGCGGTGTTTCCATACTGGAGTCACCGGCCCTTCACCATCCAGTGGGATCTTGGGCTCTGGATTTGCCTCGTTCCCATCAATGTGTCCAACCAGATGATGGGAAAGAGCAAATCCAGACCCCAACGTCCCACTGGGGACACACAGTGAGCCAGATCCCCCATTCCCAGGACTGAGCTGCCTCCAGTCCCATGCTCCAGCTCCAAACGTGGATGTGGGGCTGATCTCCAGGGGGAGACTGGCTCCCCTTTGTCAAAACCAAGTGATCTGGCACAAAAAGACCTTAATAGGAAGGAACAAGACCCCAAATGGAGCCATGTATGGGGTTTCCTGCAGGAAGAGGGTTTGGGACTGGCCGGTCGAGCAGCTTCCTGCATCCAGAAACTTTGGGATCCATCCCAGTTATTGTATTATATAAATATATTCATGCAGGATGCATCAAATCCCAGAGCAGAAGCTCATGGGGCACTTGGGTGACAAATACTGATCAAATCCCAATAAATCCCACTGGAAACGCACCCAGGTGGTATTTAAGGGAACGGACTCCTCTGGTAGGGTCTGGAGAAGGTGTAACCACATCCCAGCCCATCCACAAGGGAAGGGGGTCCCCATCAAGCCATGACCCAACCTCTACTGACTCCTCTACATAGACCTCTTCAGCCTGCACAGAGGAATCATGGAAGGAGGATGCCATTGGGATTGTGGCAATGAGCTCCCCATAGAGCCCAGTTCAGTTCTCTAAGGTCTGGGTCCACCTTGGGGTGGCAATGTTCTCCATGGTGGTGGTCACCATGGGATGAAGCTCTGATGGCTTCTTCCCTGTTGGATACTGGATCCATCGCTGGAGATGCACCCTTAAGATACGGACCCTGTTCTCCATCGTTGAAAGATGGGGATTCTTCTCCTCCCCAGGGAATTCCACAGCCCAGCACGATCCAGAAGATGCTGATGCTCACAGCACACCATGATGGGTCAAAGAGGACACCCAGGGCGTGATGGCTTGGTCTGATGATGCAAGTCTAGGGCATGGATCATGGATCCAGGTGGAACCATCAAGCAGATCCCTTGTCCAAAGGACCTTGAAAGCCTTGGTGTTGGTCTCCTGAGGAGCACACTCACCTCCCCATCTCCAATGGCGCAATGGTCAGGAGGCTCCATGCCCACCTTAGGACAACCTGAGGGGTGGTAGATCCTTGGGGTCCTCATGATGAGTATTTGTAACATAGACTCCCAATAAATCGAGGTGTCCCTGCCCATGTCAGGGGGGTTGGAACTTGATGATCTTAAGGTCCTTTCCAACCCTAACTATTCTATGATTCTAAATGGGAAGTTTGGGATTAGGACCATGGTTTCTACCCCATCACACAATGGATCCTGTTTCTAAAGATGGACAGCGACGGGCTGAAGCCCAAGGAATGTGGTGCATCTCCAACATCCCTCATCATGCCCAGCACAATGGTTTTCCTGAAGGGGCTGCTTAAAACTCAAGGCACTTGGACCTGTGAGCCCCTAACGTCAACCACCTGTATGATGGTTACCTTGATGGTATGGTCACTGCTTTCACCAACTGGTAGACTATGGTTTTCACTGGCCAATCTGGACAGCTTTTGATGACAACTGTGGTGTAACCTCAACTTCAGGTATAAATGAGCATAGAAACATCGAATCCCAGAGTGGTTTGGGTTGGAAGGGACCTTAAAGCTCCTCCAGTTCCAACCCCTGCCATGGGCAGGGACCCCTTCCACTGGAGCAGCTTGCTCCAAGCCCCTGTGTCCAACCTGGCCTTGAACACTGCCAGGGATGGGGCAGCCACAGCTTCTCTGGGCACCACTCCATAGTAAAGAATGAGGATCATCAGCTCCCCGCTGGGTGAACCATGCCCGCTCATCTCCACAAGAGGACCATTCTCCTTCCAAACACCTCCTTGCAGCTCCACACGGGAGGTGGGCAGCTGTCAGGGCAATGAGCATCTCCTTCCCCAGCAGTGGGCAGTGAAACCATCTGTTGTTACTCAGGTTGTCTCCCCCAGATCCTTGGTCTGACCTTATCCCTCATCCCACTCCTTGGCGATGAGCCTGGAGCCACAACCAACGTGTGGGCCACCAGGAGCATGCGAAGGAAAGGAGTTTGGGGGAAAACTCCTTTGATTTCCTTTCCCTCTCGTGGTCATTGTTGTATAATGGTCAGGTCACATCCAGTGATGACAATCATGCTCCTGCCTTCTCCTGGTTCAATCAGGCCATCAACCCATCAGGCACCAGCACAGGTTAGCCAAGGAAGTTGTGAATGCTCCATCCCTGGCAGTGATGGATAAATATACACTATATATTTGTATATACTAATATATACACACTATATACACTGCTATATATATATACACTATATACAATCATGCTCCTGCCTTCTCCTGGTTCAATCACGCCATCAACCCATCAGGCACCAGCACAGGTTAGCCAATAAGTTGTGAATGCTCCATCCCTGGCAGTGATGGATAAATACATACTATATAGTGTATATATTTAGTATACTATATACTATATATACTAGATAGTGATGGATAAATGTATACTATATAGTGTACTATAGTATAGTATAGTGTATATAGTACAGTATAGTACTATACACTATACAGTATATATTTATCCCTCACTGCCAGGGATGGATGTATTATATAGTATATACTATATAATATATAGCATATAACACGTAACATACAATGAAAATACAACTACTGTATATGTTCTTTGCAGTATACAAAGGCCAAGATTCTAATTTCTGCCTGAAACACACAGCAGATTATTATCGTGTATTTTTGGCAGTGTTGCATCCACTTACATCACCAGCTGCTATTATCCAGTGACTTACAATATGCTGATATTTGCTTTATTCTTGGTTTTGTCTATACACATATATATGTATCTGCTTGTTTTGTTAGTGCTAATTTTGTAGTGACTTGCACTAGAGATGTGATGTTATTATGTTCTATTCTATTTGAATTCCACCATTATATTATATATTATTATTATGTTACATTATGCTATCTCATGATATTGCATCTTTTACATTGTAATATCATATCCTCAATATGTTATTTTGCATACAGTGTGAAAATATCAATATTATACTTTTTGTATGTGCCATGCAACGGATAATTGCTGCACAGTTCTGTAATTAATGCCACCAGTTTGAATTACCTAATAACTTGTAATATGTATATATTTATTCTATATCTCTAGGTCTATATCTGTATCTATATCTACATCTTTATCTATATATCTACATGTATCTTTATGTCTCTCTCTCTATATATCTATATCTGTATCTACATATCTACACCTATACCTATATCTATATGTCTGTGTGCACACACAACACACTTGCTTTCCTGGGGTAATTTTGCACTGACACGTAGTAGACGGATGTGATACTATTCTGCTCTGTTCTGATCTAATTTTAGGTCATATAAATATTATATCTTTTATACCCTAAGAATATAAATATTTTATATTATGTATTCAATATGAAAATCGAAATATTCTGCTGTTGTATGTAATATAAATCAGGTTGGCGCTGTATGGTTTTGGAATTGTATCCACTTACATCACCAGCTGCAATTACCTAATCACTTGTAATACATTCTTATTTACTTCATTCTTGTTATATCTGCATAGATTAAATATAGAGAGATATATTTATGGATTAAAATTAAATATAATATTTATTACATTAAATGTTAATTATATATAAGATATAAATGACCACATTTATATCTT